CAACTAATCTTCCACAAAGCACAAAAGAATGTCCAATGGAAAAAAGACAGTCTCTTCAAGAAATGGTGTTGGAAAAATTGGACAGCCACATGCAGAAAATAAAACTGGACCATTTCCTTACACCACACACAAAAATAGACTCAAAATGGATGAAGGACCTCAATATGAGACAGGAATCTGTCAAAATCCTTGAGGAGAACACAGGCAGCAACCTCTTCAATCTCAGCCACAGCAACTTCTTCCTAGAAACATGGCAAAGCCAAGGGAAGCAAGAGCAAAAATGAATTATTGGGACTTCTTCAAGATCAAAAGTTTTTGCACAGCAAATGAGAGAGTCAGCAAAACTAAAAGACAACTGACAGAATGGGAGAAGATATTTGCAAACAACATATCAGATAAAGGGCCAGTATCCAAAATCTATAAAGAACTTACCAATCTCAACACCCAAAGAACAAATATATTACCAATCAAGAAATGGGCAGAAGACATGAACAGACATTTCTACAAAGAAGACATCCAGATGGCCAACAGACACATGAAAAAGTGCTCCACATCACTCGGCATCAGGGAAATACAAATCAAGACCACAATGAGATACCACCTCAAACAGTCAGAATGGCTAAAATTAAGTCGGAAAATGACAGATGCTGGCGAGGATGAGGAGAAAGGGGAACCCTCCTACACTGTTGGTGGAAATGCAAGCTGGTGCAGCTACTCTGGAAAACAGCATGGAGGTTCCTCAAAAAGGTGAAAATAGAGCTACCTTATGACTTAGCAATCACTCTACTGGGTATTTACCCTAAAGATACAAATGGAGTGATCTGAAGGTGTACATGCACCTGAATGTTTATAGCAGCAATGTCAAGAACAGCCAAACTATGGAAAGAACCTAAATTTCCATCAACAGATGAATGGATAAAGAAAAAGTGGTATACATATATACAGTGGAATACTATGCAGCCATCAAAAGAACTGAAATATTGCCATTTGAAACAATGTGGAGGGAACATGGAGGGTATTATGCTGAGTGAAATAAGTCAATCAAAGAAAGACAATTAGCATGTGATCTCTCTGATATGAGGAATTTGAGAGTGGGGCGTTAAGGAGGGTAGGGAAGGGATAAATGAAACAAGATGGGATTGGGAGGGAGACAAACCGTAAGAGACTCCTAATCTCACAAAACAAACTGAGGGTCGTTGGGGGGTTGGGGGAGTAGAGATAGGGTGGTTGGGTTATGGACATTGGGGAGTGTATATGCTATTGGGGTGCTGTGAAATGTGTAAGCCTGATGATTCACAGACTGGGGCAAATAATACATGATATGTTAATAAAAATAATTTAAAAAATTCCAGTTAGAGATGAAATAAATATTAACTTATATTTGATTTGGATTATCTAAGGTTTTATTTTATAATTTCATCTAGTTAGATAAATTTTATCACAGAACTTATTCTGGTATAAGGATATAGAGGAAGAGTTTTCAAAATAACAAAATATATGAAAATATTTATCAAATCTCTTTTTTATGTAATTTTATGCAATCTAACATATGCGTCTGGACTTTAAATTCTATTTCCTTTTACCTGTACCCCTGTAATAATACACATATTTTATTAGAATTGATTTTAATATATTTCATAATCATACAATGCTTAGTACCATTTCTATTCAACATTTCCCTATTCCCTTTGACTCAAAAGGACTTGATCAAGTTCCAAATATTATTCCATTTGGATTTGTTTGAAATTGCTTTATGCTTTGCAAATGTAGTGTTTCTTTAGTATTAAGGGCTTACATTTGCAAGAGCTCAAATAACAGCATCACATCTCCATTTAATTTATTTATAGTATTCTGGTTATTTCATGTATTTTCTATTTGATTTTCTAAATGGTATGTAATAAATATGTGTACAGGTGTATATAAGGCATTTTGACTTAGGAGTTTAATGGAATTATGTCTTATGTTAGAATTTGAAGAATGACATTGAGTATTGTACTCTAATAAATATAACTTATTATAAATATATTATATACAAATATAATAAAATATATGTTATGTTTGGAAATAATTATAAATGCCAAAAAGATCCGAAGATAATGTAAATGTAAATCCCTTAAGATGGAAAAAAAGAGAAAGAGAGAAAAATAAATACTCAGTAAATTATAAATTTTTAAAATATTTTTACCTAATGATTTGGTAAATTATAGTATTAAATATCTTTCTTTGACTCACCCATTTATTTCCAGATGAAATATCCCTTTGCCATTTACTATAATGTTATGTATACTATGTTGAATATTTTTAATTTAGAATTTTGCAACTATGAATGGATAATAATATAAATATAAGTATATAATTATATTTATACACATATATATAATTATAAATAAATAACAATAAAAATAAATATAAGGTTTTCATTTCAGTACTATTTTTGATATCCATTGCTATTGGAAAATCTTTGGATCAGGAAGCTCTGGCTGTTCTCTCTCAAATCCTTTCAAACAATTGGTAGAAAAAATAGAGAATTATATTGCTAGAGGATAATCATACCAAACTGCTAGAGACTGTATTTTTTTCTCTTTTTTTAAAAATAATTTTTTAAATTTCCTTACATAATCTCTAAGACCAATATAGGGCTAGAACTCATTGCATGCTCTACTGACTGAGTCAGCCAGGTGCCCCCACTTTTTATTTTCCTTTTAAACTTCACTTGATTAGTAAACAAAACCATGAAGACTGGTTTGATATAGAGGATGGCTGACAAAGACAACTTCAATTCAATTTAATAGATGTCATTATATTACAGAACCAGCAATCATACACTTCAAAAGTTACACAAAACTCTAAGAAGCATATTGATAGCCATGGTTCCATGACATCTCACTTTGCTCATCACAAGAGATTACCTGGAGCATCATTTTTCTCTTAGCCACTCATGAGATCCATCAGAGCAAGGGAGTCCAGAATTATGAGCTTTCTACCTCCTGTGCTTTCTGAGGATGGAAGTTGCATGTTAAGAAGAAGTAGTAGTACTCAATGGTTCATTTTAGAAACATACAAGCAAATTCTCACTTTATCGGTTACATGCTTATTCTATATTTTGGCAGTGTCATGGAACCTGGAACCTAGTTAAGATTTTAGCACTGCAGGGCATTCTACTATGGCCCACCCTCCCTTTTCTCTACATGAAGATATTAGATAGATGTGTAGATATGTTTTTAAAGATAATTTTCAGCTACTGAATGGATTTGACCAATAGGGAGCTCCTGCAGGAGTCTAGACGACAAGAGGAGAATGAAATTGGGGATATTATCTCCTCATCTACTTCTGATCAGTTTGCTTTGGTTTGCTTGTGTTCTTTCCTTAAATGCTGTAGCATATGCAGACTGGTAGCTTTCCTCTTTATGGGTCCTGATAACTGCTCTTTCCTTTGATCCTTTCAGGACTCAAGGTAGTAATGACATTTGCTCTTACTAGTCCCTTCAGAACCATACAGTCCCTCTTTGTTTTCCCTAAATTCTACCTATATCTTTGTAAATAATTTTTCTTAAAATTAAACTCTTTCCAAGTAACCAACTGGCGTGTGCTATCGACTCCCTGATTTGATCCTGGCCAACACAGTGGGTGAGCATACTGGCCAGCAAGTACCTTGTAAATTATTGATTAGCATATCCAAAATAATTAGGGAGGCAAGGGAAACTGGAAAAATAGTAGCAGAATCAAAGTCAAAATCACCAAAGAGTGTTTGCCCTTGGAATGAGATGGGAAAAATGGAATGTGACAAGACAGTTCATAAAGGCAAACTTAGGATTTGATTTCCTGGAAATGGATATTTCCAAGGGATGGATACTAGACTGATTGTATGAGAGGATATGTAACTCTGCTGCATTTATATGTGAGAAGTGATGTATTAGGTGTTGTTGATCGTCTTAACTGTTATACAAAAAGCTTGTAAAACCTTGTAAAAGCACAAGGAAAATACTACATTTAAATTTGAAATTAAAATTTATCCTATTTTTAGAAACTTTGTAAAGAAAATCATAGCACATAATATACCAAAGGTAAGATTTGGTCTTTTGTATTACTGAGTTGCCAGCCACAGATTATGCACCTAAACAAACACACAAACTATAAATATGCATATGTAATACACAAAACCTATACATTTCTCACTGAAGGAATATTAACTTCACTCCCACAATTATACTTGAAATTCCACAACATAGAACTTCTTTACATAACAACAACAAAAAACCCTCTCTTTTTGCTAAATACAATTTTTTTTGGCATATTTCCCAATTTGACAGTTATTACAAGGGTAGAGGAGAATAATTATAATATACTTTAAAGGAAGAATAGTTATCTAAGAAAAGTGGCTTTTCACTAATTATTTCAAGAATGAATTCAAACTTACACATGGAATGCTATTTTGTTTCAATTTTTATTTTTTTTTGTCAAACAAAGGTCACTAATTTAATTTATGTTCTGAGTTATATATAATGAAAGAATCACAGCTTTGCATTGAGCAATGATAAGCCATGCTGTGTAGGATGGCAATACTAAATAAAGTTCCCTTGATTTCCTCATCTTCCCATTAAAAAAAAAATACTACACTGAAAAAAAAAGTTAGAAAGTGTACATTATTTTGTGTTCCACCAGACAAAGAATCTATTTCAAGAAATGAGAATAATAAAAGTTATTCCTAAACTTTGAAAGATCTATTGTAATGAATTGAACTAGTTCAGTTTCTGATTGCTTGCCAGAAGTGTAACCATCTCCAGCATACTCCTGTATTGATCTGGTAGCCTTTGTGGCACTGCATAAAGAATAACCATCTGTGTCAGGTGCAACAGCAGGTGCCATCCCCACTGAACTGTCTGCTACCCTGATTACAAAGAGGCTGGTTAGAGCACCTGGTGACCACGGCAGGCTCTTTCTCCTTCACAGAAAAGAAACTCATTTCTAAAAGTTTACTGAACTGAAACTGAGAAACTCACTAGAAATCATCAGCTGAAGAGGAATCAACTCCGGGGAAGACAAAGTAAGAGATCTAGTGACAGGAAGCCTCTGGCTTGCATCAAGAGGTTCCCAGCCATGTACACTAGGCTGAAGTTCCCATTTGGACCACTCTGAAGAAGTTCTGAGCCCTTCTTTTAAATCAGATGTGAAGGTCAGATAATCTGTATAATATGTCCAGTCTGGCGTAAGTACAGACATAGGGAAAGAGGTCTGTATTGGAAGTGACTGACTTGCTGAAACTGCATAAAATTGAACATTAGAGGTTACTTCTGAAAAATCAGACACTGAGTTCATGTAAGGAAGCAGGATGTTTTTGAGGTCACTTGAATGTACAGTTTCTGGATGATTTTCTAAATTTAATTCAAAATCTAGAGAGCTATCATGTGTGAGAAGTTTGGACTGTTGATGAGATCCTTTAATCTCTTGCACATCCAATAAATTGTCTTGATTCAGTATCTCAGTGGGGCCCACAGTTACACCATATTGTCCTATTGTCAATAGTTTTAAAACATTTTCTGACAGAGAAGGATCATCAGTAGCCAGTTTTGAAGTCAAATCAGTATTCATCAGGTATGAAGAGGCAGTTTGTGATGGGACAATGGATAAATAAGTCTTATCCAAACATAAATTAACATCCAAATTACTTGATAGGGTAATAGATTCTTCCAAGGATGAGGATAAAATCCTTTTTTCTGTACTCTTTTTAGAAGGGAATAAAGATGACAGCTCTGTGAACGCTGCTGATGGCATTATTTCAGTAGCAGAGGAAAATGAATGCCCAGAAGTGATAGTTTGAATTCCCATTAGTGCATACCAGCTGGCTAATATCACTGAGTTCATCCAGAATGTCTCATAAAAGTGGGACTGTTTGCTATGCAAAACTTGATCTGAGAATTCATGAGAGGATTTTATTTCAGTCATAGAACATGTTGCGCATGTTTGGCTTAATTCACTTAAAGAATCAGCAGCCTGTGATTTGATGTTTGTGAGTCTCTGGTTGCTAGATGCTTCCATAATAACCTGGTATTCACTGGGAAAGGAAGCTTGTGTAGTGAATGGTGCAGAGTTGATGAGTTTAAGATGGCTACCTGTTTAGATATAATTATCTTAGCAGGAGAAATGGGAGACATTGAGGAGCTTAGCAATCTCCAATACTCTCTTCTTGAAATTAAGGAAACAGCTGAATATCCTTCAATATCCTCTTGAGCCCCCCTAGAGACAATTGGAGGTGCACTTGTAGAAGCAGTTGTGAGCAGGAATCCATGGGAGAGTAATGAGTGCCTGTTTAACTTAATATCAGCCCTGGAATGCCAGTAATTACTGAACTCATTGTGGTAGTAGATAAGGCAATAGTCTGATTGTTCTCAAATAATAAAGATTCTGTAGGAAAAACAGAATCTGTCATGAAAGAAGAGATGATAAATGAGGTCCTCTCTCTCCTACTGGGGAAAAGGAATCCTGGTATGGCTACTGAAGTTTGGATAGGCATATATGATATGGATGTTTTGCCCCAGACAAATTGTGCTGGGTCATGAACACCAAAATTCAGAAACTGAGAAGAGGAAACATCTGTGGAAGAATGAAGACTGTATTTGGCTGAGAGCTCTCTAGTGGAAATCAGTTCTTTGAGTATATAGCTTTCAAAAGATATGCCAATACTTAATGCTGCCAAACCAGTGGTTAGGAGAACACCATCCTTGATAATATCTGTCTGTTTGGGACCTTCAGAGAGGAAAAAGGAAAAAAAAATCAGAAAAGTGAATTAAAAATGAACAACTTTGGCTGTGGGCTGAATCTTCTGCAAATTGCTCTGCCACCTCATACCCAGTACATGCAAACAAATGGTGCTGTAAATCATATTTCTAATAAAAGTGTATGAATAAGTTTGGTGACTTCACAAATTGTATAAATGCAAAGACTCCTATTATTCATACTCCATGGAAGGGCTAAAGTCAAACAAATTTTGTTATATAATCTTAAGAGAGAAGAACAAAACTGGAGGTATCTTGTGCCCTAATATCAAACTATACTACAGAGCTGTTAGTAATCAAAATAGCATGGCACTGGAATGAAAACAGGCACATAGATCAATGGAATACAGTAAGGAGCCCAGAAATCAGCCCTTTTCTATATTGTCAATTAATCTATGACAAAGGAGCAAGAATATACAAATGGGAAAAGATGGTCTCTTCAAAAAGTGGTGCTGGGAAAAGTGGACAGCTACATGGAAAAAATGAAACCAGAACACTACCTTACTCCATGTAATAAATTCAAATGGACTAAAGATTTAAATGTAAGACCCAAAACCATTAAACAAGAGGAAAACAGGTAGGGAGCTGTTTGACATCAATCTTAACAATATTTTTGGGGGGACCAGATTCCTGAGGCAAGGGCAGTGAAAACTAAAACAAATGGTTCTACATCACACTATAAAAAGCTTTTGCACAATGAAGGAAACCATCAACAAAACAAAAAAGGCAACCTACTGAATGGGAGAATATATTTGCAAATCACACATGTGATATGGGGTTCATATCCAAAATACATGGAGATTTTCCAGAACTTAATATCAATAGAGCAAACTGATTAAAAATAGGCATGGGGTAGTGTGCCTGGGTGGCTCAGTTGGTTAAGCATCTGACTCTTGATCCCAGCTCAGATCTTAATCTCAGGGTTGTGAGCTCAAGATCTGATCTGGCTTAATAAAAAAAAAAAAAAAAAAATGGACAGAGGACTTGAACTGACATTTTTCCAAAGAAGACATACAGAGGGCCAAAAGGTACATGAAAAAATACTTAATATCACTAATCACCACAGGAATGCAAATCAAAACTATAATGAGATATCACCTTACATCTGTCAGACTGTTATCAAAAAGGCAACAAATAACAAGTGTCAGTGAAGGTGTGTAGATAAAGGAAATTTTGTACACTATTGGTGAGAATGTAAATTGGTACAGCCATTATGGAAAACAATATAGAATTTCTTAAAAAAATTAAAAATAAAATATCATACAGTCCAGCAATTCCACTTCCAGATACTTATCTGGAAAAAGTGAAAATACCAGTTCAAAGAGATATATACACTTCTATTACACTGAAGCATTATATGCAATAGCCAAATTATGGATGCAATCTAAATGTCCATTGATGGATGAAAGGATAAAGAAGATGTGATATAATATACAAAGGTATATTACTCAGCCATAAAGAGAATGAAATCTTGCAATTTGTGAAAACACAGATGAACCTAGAGGGTATTATATTCAGTGAAATAAGCAGACAAAGACAAATGAATGATTTTATTTACATGTGGAATCCAAAAACAAATGAACATACAAAACAGTAACATACTCATAGATACAGGGAATAAACTTGGATACCAGAGGAAGAAGGGTTGAGTGCAGAAGGCAAAATAGATAAAGGGGATTAAGAAGTACAAACTTCTAGTTATAAAATAAAGGAGTCATGGGGATATAATATACAATGTAGGCAATGTAGTCAATATTATAGCAACTTTGTATGATGACAGATGATAACTAGATTTGTCATGGGATTGCTTCATAATGTATAAAAATATCAAATCACAATGATATGCTCCTGAAAATAATATGACTTGTATATCAATTATACTCCAATAATAAAGAAAAGCAATATATATACTTTTAATTTTATATTTATATGTTTATATTTTATACTTACACATACAAGGAGTGAACATTCACAGGGAGATAAAAAGAACTAACATATCCAAAACCAAATGACTCCTTTGAATAATAAAGCATGAAAAATTGCAACTCCGCCATTGATAGAATCAATGAATACATAACATATTGGTTTAGAAATATTAGAAGTATCATTTTACTTTTTAAATAGTGACAATATTCTTTATATTTGATAACAGTATATGTAAACTTAAGTCTTTAAAAGAACAGAAATTATGAAGACAAAGAGTAGGGCAGACTACCTTTCTGCTTATGATATCCAATGGCCCTCAAAAATATTTTTAACAAGAATATCTTGTTGGAATCTCTACAGGAGGAGGAGTCAAGATGGTGGAGAAGTAGCAGGCTGTGACTACTTCAGGTAGCAGGAGATCAGCTAGATAGCTTATCTAAAGATTGCAAACACCTACAAATCCAATGGGAGATCGAAGAGAAGAAGAACAGCAATTCTAGAAACAGAAAATCAACCACTTTCTGAAAGGTAGGACTGGCGGAGAAGTGAATCCAAAGCGATGGGAAGATAGACCGCGGGGGGAGGGGCAGTCTCCCTGCAAGCGGCAGAGCAACGGAGTACAAAATCGGGACTTTTAAAAGTCTGTTCCACTGAGGGACATCGCTCCAGAGGCTTAACCAGGGTGAAGCCCACACTGGGTCAGCGTGGCCTCAGGTCCCACAGGGTCACAGAAGGATCGGGGTGTCTGAGTGTCGCAGAGCTTACAGGTATTAGAACGGGGAAGCCGGCTACAGAGACAGAGCCGAGGAGTGAGCTCTCACCTCGGGGTTACCTTGAACTGGTCGCAGGCTCGGTCAGCTCGGAGCGCGGCCGGAGGCCAGGGTGACGGGAGTAATTGGGCGCTGTTCTCTGAGGGCGCACTGAGGAGTGGGGCCCTGGGCTCTAGGCTCCTCCCGGCCAGAGACTGGAAGGCTGCAATCTTCATTCCCGTCCTCCGGAACTCTACGGAAAGCGCTCAGGGAACAAAAGCTCCCAAAAGCAAACCTGAGCGGATTACTCAGCTCGAACCCTGGTAAGGGCGGTGCAATTCCTCCGGGGGCAAAGACACTTGAGAATCACTACAACAGGCCCCTCCCTCAGAAGATCAACAAGAAATCCAGCCAGGCCCAAGTTCACCTACCAAGGAGTGCAGTTTCAATACCAAGGAGAGCAGCAGAATTCCAGAGGAGGAGAAAGCAAAGCACGGAGCTCATGGCTTTCTCCCCATTATTCTTTAGCCTTGCAGTTAATTTTATTTTTTTTTCTTTTTCAATTTTTTTCCTCTTCTTAGGCCAATTTTTTTTAACTTTAACCCTTTTCTTTTTTAACATTTTTTAACTAGTTTATCTAATATATATATATATATATATATATATATATATATTATTTTTT